CGGTCGCGGGACTTCACTATTTATGAAATGGAAAAAACTTGCAACACTCGAAATGTCAAATCTTTGTCTCTAATTATGGAACGAACTATAAATGGTAATATCATTCAGAATTAAGTGACTGACAGTTTGAGCTGTCAGCTGTCAGCTGTCAATTTTGACAGTAAACTTTTGTACACAGACTATTAAAGAATACATCTGTTTTGTGTTCATGAGCTTTCTGTAAGCTTTCGTCATAGTCATAGGTACTTTTAGTTGATGGACAGAATGATGTGAACATGAATTAACGATTGTGTAACTTTTATATCTAGATGAGATTATCCTACTAGCTTATAAAGGCAGTAGTCGCCAGAGAAACTAGTGAATGCAAATAAATATCTTGAATATTTGATTTTGGATCAAGATAATTTTCTTAGTACTCAGTCAATTCTTAATCTGGATTTGGTATTGTCGATAGGTAAGATAATATCATGGGCTTCCACTACTAACTTTTCTATGAGTTCTATGTTAATGTATAACTTTACTCATCATAAAACTAAATGACCTAAGTATTAACGTAAAGAGAAAAGCAAAAGACAACTACGTTCACGGTCTTAAGGAGATAAACAGTATAAAATACTACAAGTCACGTCTCAAAATATCGCCTTTGATCTATCTTCGAATCAGAACGTCGTAGTAGTGAATGTAGGTTAACCTAAAGGTACGATTGACATTGAACAAGAGATTAATTGCGAGACGTCTCGAGGTGTAAACGGGTCCGCTGCATTGCTGGCACTGAGCCAACTAAACCGACTCCCAAACACAAAACAATACAACCAATAATAGTATTTACGAGCCTACGTCTAAGCGACATTAGTCCCAGACGAATTTCTTGATACTTTGGAAACAGCAAAAATTAAACGCGTCACTTAGTATTAATATTTGGAACGTCTGGACTATTTTTGAGGCGCGCGAATTTTGACGATTTGCCAAAGTTTGTAATGTTTGTCTGTCTCGGTCAGCTGTGGTATTTAGTTCGCGTTGTCGTGTCGATAGATGTTACAGAAATTTAAGAGAGTTGATTTTTATATTTCGATTATCGCAAGGGATAACACGGAATGTAATTTAAGCAGAATCTCTTTTAGGGCGGCGAGGTAAAAAGCAGTTTTATGAGCTAAAAAATATAATGAATGTAATTGGTATGATTTAATTCCCTAATGGTACACCTGCCATTTTGACTCTCACAGAAATTGTATCATGTTTTTAATTTAATGAAGTTCTAAAACTGATTCGAAGTTCATACTTAGTAGCTTCTCCTCCAATCAGTCTTCTAGAAGTATCAATGTTAAGATGATATGTCGCAACATGATGTCGATGAATGTTTATTAAGACTTTGGTACAGCTGCGGATATTTGATTACCTACATTTTAAATCCCAAGATTCTCCTATTAAAATTCTCACAGATCTTTAAGTCAAACATAACATTATTATAAAAATATGAAGTGAAATGTTTAAATAATAAACATTTATAGTTCTGAGTAGCTTTTGAAATATTTCCTTTATATGCCTTGCCTGATCTCCTATTATTGTGATTACAACAGCATAACCAATATCTAGATCAGTATAGAATTTGTTATAACAAGACTTAATTAGATCTACGAGAATGTATCAAGCTAATGAACGCCATATTCTAATTAGAAGGATGAAGAGCTTTCATGGCTGCACAGAATATAATTAATGGCTCTATTTAGTATGTATGGATCGTTAGAATGTAGATAGAGTAGTATAGTAAGTGATACATAATGTCGAACTGTTACTAGTCGGAAATACTTGAAATAACTGAATGATGACGTTGTCTGTCTGACAGTCTGGGGTATATTTTTAATATTAGGTTTTTTTTTCGTCGGATGACTATGTACCGTCTTTCTCATGTTACTTTCTCAATAACTGTATTGTTTCGTTTGCGTACTTTTGTTTTCGTACATTGGTTTGGCTGGTTAGTAGAATGGAGATTAACAATATATTTTTTACATCGAATGATTTGAAACTTTTATGATTGGATGCCTAATTACCTTTTCGAGATTATTTGTGTTATTCTAACAGTTCTGAACATGCAATAATGATAAATACTCAGATTAAATTGGACTTATGAGTTTCTTAACTCGAAATATAAAAATGTTACCAGGTACTATTAAGTTTAATTCTTCCGTTATTTTACTTTTCAATTGTGGTAATTCGACTTCTTGGGCTTTGATCGATGAAATTTGAATTCGGTATTCAAATATAACATTTTTTTTAATAAGATAATTATTTCAAATTAGGAATGGTGCTTTAAAGCGATTAAACATTTTAATATCATCTGCAATAAGGAAGTTGAAATAATAAATAGGAATAGTTATGAAAAAGTTTCATTATCAGAACCACGCTTACTTGGAAAGTAAACGATGGCAATTTGTCATTATATTTACATAAGCATTACAAGATGGATTTCACTCTCTCTTTTATACGCGTACACGCATCAGGAACTGCGTGTAAAATGTTAAACTTAATGATTGTTTGTTTGGTTGATCAAACGGTCGGAAGCAAGACTGACGAACGCTAGTTCTAGTCTTGGTTTTTTTATCGAAAAACATTTTATATTATTTTATAAATTTTTAAACGTTTTTGAAATTATATTTAACTTATTAATAGGCGACATAAAAAATCCCTACTAAGTTTCTCCAAAGAATGATTACGGCAATAATCACAAACAAGTACTTACTAGTTTCAAATTTTTACTATAAAACATCTTCATTGCTATTAATATTTTGAACTGATTTAAGTCCGAAATGTTAAATGCAATAAACTTCAGAAACAAGTCGAAAATTACATTAATGGACTTTCGACACTATTACAAACCGGTAAGATGAAAATCAAAAACACAGTTCAGACATAGTTTTTGAATTTGTCGTTAACAATGTGGAGCTACTAGCTTTGGTGAATTTTCTCCTTTAAAGATGTAATGAACAATTTTGTCTCAGGTATATATATACGGTAGTTTCCAACTAGTCAAATTCAACACTTTTATTCAAATGTCAAAAACTATACTTTTCTATGAAAATAGTATGAAACACTGAGTTATAACGTCATAGAATTTTACCGTCAAATAGCCTCCTCATTTCTTAAAAATATCTAAAATTTAATATATCGATCGATCGATGAATAAAAGTATTTTCAATATTTAATTGTATTGAAACGTCGAATTAATTTATTTTTGACTTCGGAAACTACCCAATTGTGCTTAAATCTTCATTAAGAACTCACAAATGACGTCACTCTTGTCAGTAGGAAGTTACGAACTGTCAAATGAGTAGTCAGTTAATGACAGTTGACTGTTGACTGCCGACTTAGATGTTGCCCTACCTTCCGGTCATTAGACTACAGTAGTGTTTCCTTTCATGACGGATGCTGTGGATGAGATGAATGATGGATGATGGATAAAGCTAATTATTGGCTTTGTTGTTTGAAAGTTCATTGAATTATTCTAAAGCGCTATCTACCCCTGTAGTTAAAAAGTGCTAGATGATATCGCAATAAAGAGTAAAGATGAGGCCTAATCCTTCCCCTCCCCCAATCCCTCCTCAATCCCTGAGTCTCCAAATCCCTAATCCTTAAAAGGTCGGCAACGCACTCATAACTCCTCCGTTGCGGGTGTTCATGGGCGACGCTGATTGCTTTCCATCAGGTAACCCGTCTGCTCGTTTGCCGAACTAATACATAAAAAAAGATAAGTTAGTATTGCAAAAAGTGCAAGTAAATAGGAGGATATGTACAACTGCCGATATAAATTACATAGTCACCTTCACCGATAGTAAATTAGGTCGATGACATTTCAGCAGTACAGTTAGATTAACTTCATTCAACTTTCATACTATGTCCACAAGTAGAATAATAAGATTTTTTGTATGACTATATTTTTTTGAATGTAAGTATAAAGAATTTTCACGTCCTCTTTTTCTTCCAGTTATATTTCAATACTGTATTCAAAATAACTAGCTACACAAAAAAGGTATTAAACTTAATATTCGACATATTCAAATAGTTGTTTGAAGTTATAATTTGCATGAATAAAAATGTGTACAAAACGTGTTAAAGAAATTAAACAGTATCCCGCGTATAAAAAAGGTAATTAACCTTCCGGCCTTTAGACTAGGCTATCTACTCAGGCTACTTTAGTACCTATTTACTTTTTTATTTCCTGAGAACCTAAACACCATTCAACGAGTTACAGTAAAAAGTTTCTTATAAAGTTGTCGTAAGAAACTAGAATATTAAATAAATTCACACTGGCAGCGACGAGTTTTTCAGCCGCTTGCTATTTGCGTGGGAAGCCACAATAAATGAATAAATACATAACTTTATTTTGCGTGCCAACACTCCCATGAAAATTGGTTTCTTACATGTAGATATTACGAACAGGGACTGCACGACAACTTTGATAACATGACAGAGAATGATGAGGTCAATTAAAGCTTGTATAAGTTCATCAGCCATGACAGATTTCTTTAGTTTCTTTCTAAAGTTGATTGTAAAAAAAACAAGAAGCCAATAATTATGACGAAAAAATGCTTTCTATAATCACTTTTATAAGTTACGACGTTTCAAGTGTGACGTGCGCAATGATTACGAAACATTTTCACGTACAAAAATTCTTTTCAATAAGAAATACATCATAAATGTAAGTGTGTCTGAATGGCTGGCAGTTATTGTGCGGGTGGTATGCGGCACAAGCGGCGCGGCGCCACAAAGGGTTACGTGATTGTACGCAATGTCCTCCTCTTACAAACACAATACTTCTTTAAACGCACCTTATCAAAGCTACGATGATAACATTTCGATTAAGCGACTCAAATTGAATAGTTTCGGTTTCTATGCTATCGAGCACGCGACCACGTTCTACATCAAATTTTATTATCTAATACATGTCAACGGTGAATAACCCCGTCGTAGTAAAATGACTTCATTCTCGATTGTTTTTGTTACAGGCTTGATCCACCTGCAGTTCAGTCACAATACCAAATGGAGAACAAAAAGATCCCGCCGGCGACGCAGCAGCCGCTCACCCAGCAGCACCTGATGGCACATCACGTGCACCCCGAACAGATCTACTCTCAGCATCACCCTCAACTATCCCACCTAAGTTCTTCACAAACAGGCCAAATACAACCAAATGGCGTCATGCACCAGTTACTACAGAGTCAGTATCACTCGAACATGAATGCACGATCTCCGCTCCTTGAAAACAGACACGATTTGTATGGTACTGGTCACAATCACGATTACGCCCGACATTATGGAGCAAATGATAACTATAATTACCCGCAGTCACCACCCAGACACGAAAGGACAGAGGTGCACACAGATCAGAATGTTAATCATGAGCTACTTCACAATATACCTAAAGGATACAATGCAGAAGTCTATCAAGATTACTTAAAACGAAACCCACCGAAAGATACCAATCAAATATACCAAAATCATCAACCTATGTATAGGCCTAATGTTAATCCTAATCAGTATGGATCCAAGCCATATCTTCCATATTCTAATAGAATAGGACCACAGAGTAACACTGAATTATTACGTAGACAATATAGTGAAATTCAACAAATGAAACTGCAGCAACAGCTTCATTATCAAAATCAGGCACAAATGCACCAACAGCAGAAGTTCGCTGAAAGGCAGTTGTTACTTCAACAGATCCATGGAGTACAGCCACCACCTAACTTACAAAACAGTATATACTCAGATGGTTCATACAGAGACTTGGATAGGTACAGTAGTAAGAACGACTTCAAAGAGTACAGTAGCCCTGATATACAAAAAGACATCGATAGCTATGCTAAAAACAATGAGTACAAAGAGTATGAAAAGCAAAATAGACAGTATGAAGCTCAGTGGAATCAAAACCAGCAAGCCGAATACAGAGAGCAGGAACAACAGTACAGAAGGCAGTTAGAAGCGGAGAAAGGAAAAAGCCAGTCTCCACCATCAGATTACAAAAACCAAAGTCAAAAAAATAATATGAGTGTCGCATCACCCATGAAATCTAGCGAATCTAGTACTCCAAGTGTGAAGTCTCCATCTTCAGACAGTAGGAGAAGCAGTGGGGGAAACCAAGCATTGAGATCACCAATAGCGCACCGTGTACCATCTGCTCCGGTGACTATGTCTGGGATCTTGTACAAACAAGGATCAGACGGATTAAAAGTGTGGAGAAAGAGGTGGTTCGTTTTGTCGGAGTACTGCTTGTTTTACTACAAAAGTAAGTTCTGAAAAACATTTTGTTGTTGCTTTCTATAGTAGTACTCCGCAAATAAGTATGCTAATACACGTTTGCATTTCAGGTCAAGACGAAGAGAAACTTCTTGGTTCAGTGCTGCTGCCGTCATATAAAGTATCGAGTTGCACCGCGGAAGACAAAGTGCTTCGAAAGTTTGCATTCAAACTAGAGCATGCGAACATGAGAACTTACGTCCTCGCTGCGCCTGACCAGGAGGCCATGATGAAATGGGTGAAGTCGTTGACCATGGCCGCACTCATGCAGAGCCCCAAGTAAGATTTCATCAGAGATTTTATCACTAGATGTTTTAGCTCTATTGACAGCTATTCTTGTGCGAATGTTTACCTAACTATTGAGTTATAACAATAAAATATGCTAACGACTGGTGTTTTAGTCAAATCTGTTGATTTTAAAACCCATTAATTTCTATTTCCAGTGAGCAGCCGCAAAAACAGATCGATCGGACAGCTGCGAAAACCGAGGTGGGTATTATTGTAGGCACGTATAATGTACCGGTGCAGGTGATCGGCAATTAGTTTGCTGGAGCGGAACCAAGGACAGGCATTATATGGTCGTTATAACTGCAGATAATAGTGAGGACGACGCCGCAGCAAATTGATTGTTACATTAGTAAACTGTTCAGAACCCATTTAATGAATTCATCACAAATTGATAGTTGCTTGTGGAATCAACGCTGTGCATAAATAAATGTTCATTAAATACTTGTTTTGCTACAGGATGTCGATGAAATACCAACCTACGCGAACGCTCCACCGAAACCAAGGCGCTCTAATGAAGGATACAATTCACCTAGCCCTGACATGTAAGAACAATATTAAATTATTATTTTTTATTTTATCTTTGATGCAGGTGTATAATACAAGCTTTACCCATATTCATACTCTCAATTTCCATGTATTACAGGTACGATCCAAACTATGACTTACTCAAAAAGCCAGCATCACACTACAGTCAAGGCACTAGTCACGCACGATATCAAGACCACGCAAATTATCCAGCCAGTCCAAACCAAGAGCCTACATACACTCGCAGTCCGCAATCTCCACCGCCAGTACAACAACAACCACAGTATCAAACAAAACGACCACCTTATGATACGCAACATCTCTCCCTGCCATTAACAAATACAGTCACCGACAAACTTGAGAACAACCAACCCAGTACCTCATCTATGTATAAAACTAATCCACAATCGCCTTATTTTGATAGGAATAGAAGCCAGCAGCTAATGGCACAAGAAAACAGGGAACAAAATATATATGAAAGGCAATCGCAACGTAATCCTTTCCTGCAAGATACTACTCCTCAGACGGAAACATCTAAAGATGAAATAAATGAACCCCAGAAGAATTCTCGGTCGAATATGAAGGAAGAAAGATCTGAACCCGTTCACAATGAGTCATCACATAATGATAGCAGAATTACCGCTAAATCTAATATTGATTTAAATGCATACAATAGAGATATGTACGGAGAGTTGAGTTCTAGACAGGGAAGAGCGGGAAGCGCAATAAACGAACGTTTAATGGCAGAAAGGCGGACACCAGATGCTTACGGTAGATCTACAACAATGTCTGCTTATAACAAAGGCAAAATGGGCGATTATGAGGATGTCTACTCACAATATGTCACAGAAAATGAATACGGTAAAACTTACGCCAAATCACCAAACCCGTCTCAAGGCGACGCTGTGAGCACATCCTCTAATCAACAGCAACAACAAAAGTTGCCTGGAAACTATGTAAGTAAAACATATTTTGTTCAAATTATGTTTATGTTTTTTTCTCCCTGTGTATTTTATAAGTAAAATGGGTTAAGTTAAAGCTTGAATCTCACTTGGTTTTTTCCAGCCCCAAGAAAAGACATTCAGTGGACCTTCAGTTCTAAGGCGAAAGAAAATGCAATCAAGTGGAATTCAACCTCCAATGCCACGTCCGCATAGTGCAGATTTTCTTGAATATGAATCAAAAGCGGAAATGTTGAACAGATCCGCTCCCTCTCGCTCAGCGTATGATTCATACAAAGAACCACAACGGCCTAAGTCCAGTCTGGACATTAATTCTTACTACGATCCCAGTTCTGATAAATATTATTCTGAAGAAAGTTACGCAGAAAAAATGCGTCAATCTGCACAGTATTTACAACCAGGACTCGTTCCAAGTGTCGTTCCAAAGAATATGGAGATCCCTCTCGCGAATTATGCTAGCGGCTTAGCAAAGAAACAACTCAGCACTGCGTATTCACAGATGACGAATAATAATTATGAAGCCGAATTTAGTTCTAATCGGGATAATGTGAGTTATAATTCCAAATACGGCGATTTAGAGGCATTGAATTCTAATTGGACATTAAAAGAGAAAGAAATACAAAAGGAGTATCTAAATAGAAGTGGTAGTGTGATGAGTGATGGGTCTAACGTCAGTGGATACGTTAAAGAAGCAGCCAAATATGATACTAATGCTGATGGTTTTATGAGATCTGCAAGTGCAAGGTTACCATCGACGTCGACAGAAAAAGAGGGCGAAAAGAAAGTGCAACAGGTATACAACGTATTAATAATAATTAAAATAGCAGGACCACTTCATGGTCTTCACTTTTTGTCGCAACTATACTACTGCATACTAAAAATGTTATTTATATTTCCAGCGCGAAGAGTCAATGAAACGATTATTGGAATGGAAGCAAAGGATGTTGCAATCACCTCTGACCAGAAAAAGTACTCCCGCAACGATATCTCTAGCCAGATCTCTCAATCATAGTCGCCAGTCTTTACGATCAGACCAATATAAATCCAAAACGTATACGAATGCATCATACAATAGCTATTCTTCCGATGATGAAGGTATGTGACAACTAGTGTTTTAAGTTTTCCCTTATGATTATGTGTTTTGTACCTAAGTAGTGTCTACTTTGTAGCATGGTTAATAACTTGATGATTAGAATGGTTAAATAAGTTTGAAACAATAATGAAAGGAGCATGAATCGTTTTAAAAATTTTATCGTAAAAATTTGTTAAATATGCATGAACAAAGGCAACGAAGATTTTTATTAAGTACAGTTTGATATTGAATATATTTTGTTATTAAAATGTTGCATAGCATTAACATCCTAATAGAACATTATTTTACGCAAACAAAAATAATTAAATCATTCCTTAGTTTTTGGTATATAAAATATGCATCACTTAATCACGATTATTTTATTATTTGGAGGCGTACAGTATTGTTTTACCCATATAATATACCCTATTTTCTTAATTAATGAAAATGCCATTTAAGAGTTGATAATATTATATTCATTATTTTTATGTGTATTCTTTTATCATATACATGAAACACCTGCAGTAGCATTATGATGACTTCGCTTTGCGGAGAGGTACCTTCCTGCCTGCGGGGATAATGTGCCACTAACATATTTTTAATGGTCTATTATTCGGTGGTGGGTTACGAATCTTAGTTCTTATTGGTGATATTTTGAGTAGTTTGCATCAATCACTCTAACACCCAAAGCCAAATATACTAACATTGTGGTGACCATAAGGAACACTTTGAAACATTATTTTGTATTCAATAATTACTATTGAGATAGTAATTATCGGTTTCACTTTTGCACCTCAGAGGGAACAACGGGCACTGATCTGCAAAAACCCAGAGATATGCAGGCAGGAAGGTCTCATAAAGTGAACCTAACAAGTCCTATCATTATGCGACCTATAACCCCGCACGCGCCCGCTATTACTCAAACTGACCCAACAGAAAATACTCCTAATGAAAAGATGAAAATCACCGAGGACACAGAAAATACTTATCAAAATATTTTGTGTACCATTTCCATTCCTAAAGTTAATTTGGAAGGAGATCTTGAGAAGTCCACATTTGAATCGGATCAAGGAAAAGTAGAAGAGAATATACCACCAGCAATGTCAGAGGAAGGGTATGAGACTGAAGATAGTGAAGCAGAATCAGAGACACAGATGGAATACACTGACAACGATTTAGACGAAGTATTATTAGACTCTGAAGAAGAACACCACCACGATCTTCAAAATTGCAATAAAACTGACGCCAAAGAAGAAAAAGATGACACGGCACAAGATCTTCCTGAAACGAAACCAGAAACTCCACCAGTAGTTGTTCCTGGAGAGAATCATTATTTACCAATGAGTCCTCGAAAAATATCTGTTTCTGAACCTCCTCACAAAGCCATAATTGAAAGTTTGAGTGTCTTCGATCAATCTATGCCTCAAGGATATGAAGATAATCCCTATGTAGAAATGAATTTAGGAAACGAAGATGACGATGCGCAAACATACGAAGTGGTTTGCGTCAACAACGGGAAAATAGAACCTGTTTATATGGAACTTAGTAATGTATCCTCTAGTGAGCCCAAATCACAAGATGGATCTGCAAGTTCTAAACTTTTAGATACTGCATCCAATTTTGCTGATTCAAATAATCATACACTAAAAAGAGCTAGTAAAACCGATAAAAATTCAAAAGAGAAATCAGAAGTTTCTGACGTGGACGATGAAACAAGCAAAGATGTTTCTTTGCATTCTCCTTTCAGTAGATTTAGTATATCAGACACATTTCGACCAGCCTCGTATTATTTAAGTAGTAGTAAAAGTACTTTAGATGTCCAAGATAGTTCCGACAGCGAAATATCTTCACCTCCACCAGTACCCACCTCTTCTCCTCCTTGTGATGATTTATCGGATGAAGCCTTATCAAAATATATTTTAGAGAAATTGGACAAGTCGGATATGTCATATGATAATTCAATTTTGAAAATGTTGACTTCTGAAAATCAAAAGATGAATACTGTCAAACGAAAAACTACTTCATTAATGATTTATGGAAGCCGAACGTCTATTCATGATACACTTTCTAGGGGTGAGAAAATTCGGAACAGCCGAGCGAGTCTCACAAATGAGAGACACAAAATGAGTGAAAGTGCTTGTAATTTGTTAAGTAGTACTTTGCTAGACCATTATAATCATTCAAGCAGTATAGAAACAGATTCTTTGAGAAGTTACAGCGCTGAAAGAGGTTCTTCCCGTCTATCACTCGAATCGGATGTCAGTAGTAAATTTGATTTAGTGCCATCGAATTTGTCATCTGAGGTTACAAGTCTGAATGGAAGTGAATTAGCTATAGATTATAGGCATCCCATTGGATATCGAGATTTAGAAATGATGATAAAAAGAAGGCCTCTTTCTGATGAATCCTTACTAGAACTGGTCAAGGCTGAAATCCCAATTACTAGTGATAATCCTACGGTCGTAGATTTAGATAGATATTTAGACAACTTGCAAGCTGGTACGAGTGAAGACCAAAATGTTAGTATCCAAGGACAACTAAATAGTTCAGCACCAGAAACTTCAAATTACAAAGATAATGTAATTCAAGCAGCTTTACAAACTGCAACACATTCTCGATCCTCAAGCACTCCATTGAATCACAATACTAGACTGAATAGCTTTGGAAGCAGGAATTCTATCGGGCAACAATTTCGTCATATAAGTGAACAAACTTCGAGCTATACCGGTTCACAAAGTTCCTGTAGTTCCTCAGGCATACCTAAGTCTCCTATGTCCTATTACTGTAAGAACTACGACGAGGAAAAGCTTTTGAAGAAAAATTTAAACAACGATGCAATTGCTGATAAAGTAAAGGAGTTTGAGAACGAAAAAATCGCGCTTCGTACAGGAAATGATACAAATGCTTCTTCAACTTCTACTGGATTTCATAGCAGGGAAAGTTCTACTGAACACAGTGCTCCTTATTACTATTCTGATCTTTCTTCCCAAGAGCATATTAATGTCTTACCTACTTCCCATTACTTGAAAAATACTAACCTTCACCGAAAGCTAAATAACCAGCGCCGGAGGGGACCATTACATAAGAAAAATGATATTTCACATATTCATAATCCTATTCGAAATAATCAAATTATGTTGTCAGAACCATCTTTCGAATTGGCAACGACAGCTAGAAGCGTGTCTGTTGAGTTCTTGAGCGCTGCTGATAAAGATCCAGAGATCGATATGAAAAATATATACGAGTCGACTGGCGGCAGGAATTCTAAAATTCCAGAATCAATGAATTTATCTGGACTTGGCTGTAAAAGGAATTCAAATAGTTATAGTTATCACGAAAGCTCTTCTCCAGAGTCGAATGCTATCAATGCAAATTCTTTAATAAAACTATCAAGCACTAGTATGTCATCTCACTGCAGTGGAAACTCATCAAACACAGTTTATTATGATGCCGAAGCAGACGCAGGTGCCTATGAAAATGTTGTTTGCCAAGGAGACAGACACTGGGATGAGGATTCTTTGTGGAGAGACAATTTAAGACGAGTCTCGCACAGACACGCCCGGTCTATGGATGATTTAGACTCAATGCCTGCAGGAACATCGCTATCTACCAAAATCAATGAAGCATCTGGAATGAGTAGTATAAAAAGAGTGAAAAAAGATACAGTAAACAAAATTAGTAGGAACGTAACTTATGTTAATTGTGATATACAAGGTAGAGCTTTGAGAAACAGAGAAAATAAATCTGGCTTTCTTGATCACTTTTTAGAAGAAGACCAAAAATTCGATGAAAATGACGTGTATGTGAGTCTCGCTGAAAGCGTAGAATTATCTTCTAAACAATCCGATGAAGGTGTTTACGAACAACTGGCTGTTGAGTCAAATAGTCCTATGGGTTATACAAATAAATTAACTTCTGAAGCTGACAAGAAGAGGTTTGAAATTGATAGGGAAAAGTTAAGACAATGGGATCTGATGTCGAGTGGTTTAATGAAGGGTAGAGTTGGCGGACGCGTGCGGGGTTCAGGTGCTAGTGCAGGCGTGGGAGACACTGCCTGTAGTACGGACACTGGGACCGATAGTGCAAGCAATGAAGGTATCCTCTAACATTCTATGGTCCTGTAAGGTACACTATGTAAGTTATATTTCTATTTCAATATTAAAAAGCAAAGCAAAGTCATTGTTTTTAATTTTCTACAAGTGTAAATAATTTGGCATTTTTATATTTTTGACATGAGTTTAATTTAAAATTGGATTTGGTTAAAAGGAAGCATTGAAACACGATAAGGTGTTAAGACAACCAAGCATGCGATTTTAACAATGGATTGTTATTTTTTTGTAAATAGTAATCAATATTTCTACTAATACGCAAACTGATACACACTTTATCATGTTTACTTCTTAATAAAAAAGTAATATTTCGATTGTAAGCGTAAACGTAGCTGTAAGTAATACCAATCTCAAGAAAGTAACTTTTTCAGCTTCTATGACAATGTCAGGCGCGCATACGGATTCTGGTACAAATAATAACTCAAAAAGTCAGCAAGCATTGTCAAAGAAAGCTTTTCTCGGAAGTAATACGTCTATTGGAAGAAACAGTCGGGACGCCAATATACCGGTACGAGCAGTGAGCCCAAGGGTTAGATGGGTGGAAGACAAACAATCTAACGACCATTACGGCTCACAACAAATGTCGACGTCTCAGCAAAACGTAAGATTCATATTACATAACCCACGCCAATTACAAAAATGTGAGAATATATATAGATGTTGATGAGATCCTTTTTACTTTACAGCTAAACACACTGAATACTACGGAGGACTCTTGGGCTTCCGCCAGATCACCATCTAGAGCATCTCAGCAACCTGTTAGAGCCGTGAGCCCTCGAGTCCGAAGGAACACAGAAAATGATGAAATGGTACGTTGCCTCCAACTTTGTAAGGTTTTGTTTTGTTGTTTTAGTTTTTTATTTGTTTTTACCGTAGACCTTAGCTTTCACATTATTATGCATATTATTTGTTTTTATTTATTTTTTTTGCATTCTGCTTTATCATTTGTGTTACGTTTTGTATTATCATATTAGCAAAGAGGGGTGCAGCAGCCGAATCAAAATGAACAGTTAGGGGAAATTCCTACTGCTGGAGAACTCCTTGGTCGAACTCATGAAGAATTGGTGTTGCTCTTGATTCAATTACGAAGACGCCATGCGGCGACCCATCGGGCCATCGAGCAGTGCTGCGCTCAAATCAGTAGTATTGAGGTGTTTGTTATGGCTTTTTATTATCCTTGTTTAGTTGCATTATGTTTTGTTTTCATATTGTTTTTATTGTTATACATTTACCTACGTTTTAGTTTTTTAAAAGATATTTGTTGTTTCGTTAATTCGTTTAAGAAGTAAACGTTTCTTTACTATAACTTACGTTTATTTTATTTTCAGGATTGTCTCAGTTCTTTGAAAGCAATGGAACGGGAAGAAAGTCTTCAACGTCTTGAATTCCTTAAAAATCAGTTAATGGAGCTGGAGCATCAGTATGAAAAAAGCAAGCCTCTTGTCCAACTAGTGGACAATATGGTCAAGCTAGGATCTCTGTACAATAGGCCTGGTTCAACCATAGAAAGGTTGGAAAGAAACCAGAGGCTACGCCAGAAAGTTCTAGCTGAACATGCTCTGGAACAACAAAGGTATACATTTTTATATTAAATGCACCATTTTCTTCATCATAGTTATTGAATACCTCTTATGCAAAAAATCAAATCATCTGGGTTAACGTTCCAGATGGCTCGAAAGCGTGGCTGCAGGCAAATCTTTGGAAACTGAAGCAGCTAGAGCTAGAGTGGCTGAGCTATGGGCATTAGAACAAGAACTTTCTGATGAAGCCGCCATATTGCAAGGCCTTAGAACTGACAAGGATGCTATTGAGAATTTACTTTCTGGTAAGGATGTCACATGTCAAATGCTATAGTTCTTTTTCGCATAAATGTTCTCTTCAGTAATTTAAAAATATTTTTGGATGTTTAGTAACAGGAAATAATTTTAAATCTCAGGTGTCCGCGGAAAACTGGACAGTGTCCATAAAGGCGAGATAAACGTCGACGTCAACCCTACAGCGCCTCGAAGACCAACAGCTCCACCCAGTCATGCAGCAGGAGGTCTCGAAGAGGAACTAGCGCGCGTGCAACAGATGTTGGCACACAATTCTAAGGTTTATAAGGTTTTCGTCTATATGATGCACTTTTCTTTTTTTTGTTTATTTATACGTATAGTATTTGTAAGTACTTATTTTATATCTTTATTAAGCACTACACTTATCTTATTTGAAATTGTATAACCAACTCTGTAATTATTAATTTTAAAATGTGTTTTTGGAATGTGTATTTAATAATAACTCAAAATGCATGACTACGAAGAAAAATATTTTTTATCATTGACGAATGTCTTGTTATTGCATAGAAATTGGAGCAGACGGTTGCGGACAACGCTCGGTTGGAACGTGAGCTGCAGCAGCTGAGGCGCGCGCTGCAGGCGAGGCGAGCTGCTGGACATCAGCACCACGCAGCCAACCCCACAGCCATGTTGGAAGACGGTCAGTACGATAAAAAGATATTAAAGTAACAAGTCACTCATCTCAAATGACTGTCAAGAATTCGTTTCCATTCCATGGCAATGTTTTGTTAAATGTTATAAAACATCATGCTCCAACCAAATTGAGCCGAGCAGCGAGTGAAACCTCGCGGGAGTAGCTAGTTTCAAGGTATAAAGGTAGTATGTGATTTTAGTTAGGTAAGTGAAACCGAATAATAAAACAAGTTTTCAGGTATCAGGTAGCCAAACTTATATTAGTGAGGGTAGTACTTAAATTTATTTCTAATGACTCCATGCCCATGATTGTGAGTTTAAGTTTTGGTCATTATTTAATTGCAGAAGTGTCACGTGTCCAACAACTGGTGACAGCGTTGCAGCGTCAGCGCCAGGAGCTGAGTCGTGCTGTAAGGCATCTGACCCAACAGTCACACGCGCTACAGAATACACACGATTCAATGCCTGGTCAGTGAAATCTTTTTTATACATATATATGTTGCTTAGTTATTTAGTAAATAGATAGTAGTAAATATTTCAACAATTCATACTTTGAAGAGAACTTTATTTATGTAAATGCATTTTGACGTCATATCTTGCGATTTCATATGAAAATAAAAGAAAAGGATCTTTTATTTTGACTAGTTGCAAACTACTAAACTATAACTTCTTGTATGAGTACACGACCTAAGTACTAAATATATTTTAAAACTTTAGGAAAACGTCGTCCCATGTCTTCGTGGCAAGAGACCAACCTGGACACAGGCCACACCATTGACCACGGTCACTCTGACTACGATTATGACGTAGGACCGTTGATGCCTCCTGGTCACTACGATCATTCTAATGTTGAAACACCCCTCTACGTGGACACTAGAGGTCCAGGTGCTGATGTCACTTCGCCGCTTAATAGTGAAGATTTACAACATGCTGGTTTCAGTTAGTATACGTTTAAGCTATAGTCGATTCATGATGCTTGAGCTCCTTTAGCTAGTTTATTAATCTTGTGATTCTATTCCACAGGCAACCTAACGAATGTAGAGAAACAGGAGATAAAAACGGTCCGCATAGTCAAGCGAGAGAGCGAACGGCGACAACGAGACAGGGAACGCTCCCTCCAGCCCATGTCTGAATGGCATACCAACAACATCACAGCCAATCTAGACCAATTCCTAGAGGAAGAACTCGTACAATCACTTAACTACTCTCGATCAGCATCGCTACCTCGAAACGAACAATACGAGCAAGTATACGGCATGAGACGTGACAATAATTACTTGCAGCCGAACATGGATCTCAGTCCCAAATACGTGTCGAGTCCATCTCTTTCCAACTACGATTATTCGCAAAATATGTCTTCCCTGAGCAGTAGTTACAACAAGAGCTACGATCGATCTGGATATGACCGCACAATCTCTTTGTCCACACAGTACTTAAACAGTCCCACGGATAGTTCCAGGACGTTGACAAATGATCCTTTATCAAAGACCAGCAGTGTGGTTAGTTTGACAAGGTCACATATGGAGCTCTCTCCAATATTTAAGAGTGAGGCGGCTAAACAAATCATAACAGAGATGTCTGGTGATGCCCCTAAGAATGGTTCCTTGCATAGAAGACAGGTGCCGAAGGAGAAGAGAAGGCACTATACTGCACCTCATCATCTTAGTGCTAAAACGCTTAACGAAATGCCCAAGGATGCGTATAATCAAGACGTAAGTAATTTGCCAACTGTATCTCAATTATAAAAACTACATCATTAAATAAAGCCATAGGGATGTAAGGGGGCGAACTTCCATCTTTCGCCCCAAGCCAACCTCACCTGCACGCGGTGCATCCTGCTGGTCAACGAACGAGGCTCTGGCGACCGACCGACGGCGGTATATCCGTCCCTTACAAACAGGCGAAATTAAGTACCGCAGGCCGGTGACGGGCAGCAGCGTTACCGGTGCGAAAAGTTTCGCCCTGCGATCGCCAACCCGCCTGCCCAGCGTGGCGATTATGGGCAATACCTCCTATGGGCAAAAAACGAAGGCCACGGCCCCCAGTTCCCGGCAGCCCCACTATTCCTGGTCATGGGACCATGGTAACGGTGGGGTAGGGGGTGCTAAGAATCTCCGGGCTACGGGAGGCCACCACAACAGACTGACCCTGGCGACGTACAACGGACGCACGATACGGCTTGACTCGCATCTAGCGCAACTAGAGGTGGAACTTGGGAAGATCAGGTGGCACATACTAGGGTTATGTGAAGTCCGAAGAGAGGGGGAGGACACGATAACTCTCAAATCAGGCCACCTGATGTACTTCCGTGAGGGAGACCAAAAATCCCAAGGTGGCGTTGGGTTTCTGGTTAACAAGTCCCTATCTAACAATGTTGTGGAAATGTCGAGTGTGTCGAACAGGGTGGCGTACCTCATTATAAAGCTCACCGAGAGGTATAGCCTTAAGGTGGTCCAAGTGTACGCACCGACCTCGGCACACTCCGATGATGAGGTGGAGGAGATGTTCGATGATATATCGAGGGCCCTCCACTCCACCACTAGGACTCACTTCAACATTGTTATGGGGGACTTTAACGCCAAAGTGGGAGTACAAAATTGCAGTGAATCGGTAGTAGGATCCCATGGGTATGGAAACAGGAATCATAGGGGGCAAATGCTCGTCAATTTCCTCGAACGGGAGGGGATGTTCCTAATGAATTCATTCTTTAAGAAGCAGCCCCAAAGGAAGTGGACGTGGCAAAGCCCCGACACTATGACAAAGAACGAGATCGACTTCATCATGGCGGACAAAAGGCACATATTCAGAGACGTCTCCGTGATTAATAGGTTTAATACCGGTAGCGATCACCGACTCGTCCGAGGCTCTCTGAATATCGACTTCAGAGCCGAACGAGTCCGCTTGATGAAGGCCAGGCTCCGACCAACCCTGTTTCAAATCAAAATGGGATCTGAAGCGTTTCAGTTAAACCTGGAGAACCGATTTGCTGCCCTGGAAACCACAACCGACGTTAACCGGAACCTTGAAAACGTGGTTCGAGTTCTCAGGGAAGAAGGTACGAGATTTTGTGAAATGCAGCGTAAGGGCAAGAAGTCGAAGCTTTCGGAAGAGACTTTAGGGCTTATGAAGAGACGACGTGAAAACCCACCCGTCACTTCGTCAGAGAAGCGGGCTCTAAACCGAGAGATTAGCAAACACGTGCGACACGATCTCCGGTGCTCGAATACCCTTGCAATCGAGAGAGCGATCGAGCAAAACCGGGGGCCAAAAGTGTTCGTACAATCTCTTGGAAGAAGCCACCTGACGAAGTTGACCACAGCAAGTGGAGAAGTCGTTGCCTCGAAGCCGGCAGTTCTTTCGGAAGTAGAAAACTTCTACGGCCGGTTATACGCTTCGCATGCATCTCGACCTGACCCCGGAAATGAGGACTCTAGAGCCACTTTAATACGCCATTACACCGAAGACCTGCCAGAAGTCAGCATTGACGAAATCGAGATCGCTCTTGGACAGCTTAAAAATGGAAAAGCCCCTGGAGAGGATGGCGTTACGACAGAGCTTCTAAAAGCAGGCAGCAAACCGGTACTCAGGGAGCTGCAAAAGCTATTTAACGCTGTCCTGTTTGAAGGGAGAACTCCAGAGGCGTGGAGTCGGAGTGTGGTCGTCTTATTCTTCAAAAAGGGTGACAAAACCCTACTGAAGAATTATCGACCCATTTCCCTTCTAAGCCACGTCTATAAGCTGTTCTCGAGAGTGATCACGAACCGCCTTGCGCGAAGACTTGACGAATTCCAACCACCGGAGCAGGCTGGGTTTCGGAGCGGATACGGCACCATAGACCACATCCACACAGTGCGGCAGATTATACAGAAGACTGAGGAGTATAATCAGCCCCTGTGCCTAGCATTTGTGGACTATGAGAAAGCCTTTGACTCGGTCGAAATATGGGCTGTTCTGGAGTCCCTGCAGCGATGCCAAGTAGATTGGCGATACATCCAAGTGATGAGATATCTCTACGAGGCCGCCACCATGTCCGTCCAAGTACAGGATCAGCAAACAAGGCCGATACCGTTGCATCGAGGTGTGAGACAAGGGGATGTTATCTCCCCGAAATTGTTCACAAATGCAATGGAGGATATGTTCAAGACGCTGAACTGGAAAGGACGCGGCATCAACATAAATGGCGAGTACATCTCTCACTTGCGATTTGCAGACGACATCGTCATCGTAGCAGAAACGCTGCAGGACCTACAACGGATGCTGAATGACCTGGCTGACTCTTCTATACGCATCGGCCTACGGATGAACTTGGATAAAACCAAGGTCATGTTCAATGAACATGTACTACCGGAACCGATTGCAGTACACGGCGCTGTTCTCGAAGTCGTTCAAAAATATGTATACCTCGGGCAGACATTGCAGATGGGTAGAAACAACTTCGAGAACGAGGTGAATAGAAGAATTCAGCTAGGTTGGGCAGCATATGGAAAGCTGCGTCAAGTCTTCACGTCGTCGATCCCACAGTGCCTAAAGACGAAAGTCTTCAATCAGTGCGTCCTACCTGTCATGACATACGGAGCCGAAACGTGGACACTGACGGTGCGGCTGGTTCACAAGCTAAAAGTCACTCAGCGAGCTATGGAGAGGGCTATGCTCGGCGTTTCTCTGCGAGATCGAATCAGAAACGAGGTGATCCGGCAGAGAACCAAGGTAATCGACATAGCCCACCGGATTAGCAAGCTGAAATGGCAGTGGGCTGGCCATATTAGCCGAAGAACCGATGACCGTTGGAGTAGACGAGTTCTTGAGTGGAGACCGCGTCTCGGCAAACGTAATGTAGGACGTCCTCAGGCAAGGTGGAGTGATGATTTGCGCAAGATGGCTGGCAGGAGCTGGATGCGAGTGGCCGAAGATCGATCCCAGTGGCGTGCAATAGGAGAGGCCTATGTCCAGCAGTGGACTGAAAAGGGCTGATGATGATGATGATGAAATAAAGCCAAGTAAATATAACGATTATTATCCTAACTAACTTTAACCAAATCCATAAATAATTCCTTTGTCCAGAAGATGGGTCGATCAGTGGATGATGCGGATATGGAGCGAGCCTTGCGTGGTGCGGCTCCAGACGTGGTGAGATCTGCACTGCCACCACAAGCACTCAGATTGGCTGACAACACCATTGACCAGTTACTCGCTGCACCACAGAAAATCCTCATTCCTGAGAGATATATTCCGGAGAAGGTAAGTTCAGAAATCAATGTAATGGAGTTTCAAATAAATTTTGATTTATTAAAGATGAATTGCATAGGGTCTTAAATGATTTGTTCTTTAACAAAATCATAATGTGATTTTTGTCGTGCTAAGTGCTAAGTTTGGTTCAATAAGTAGTTGCATAAATTAATTATGTATCATCGATTAACCGGGTCACTGAAGCGTAGCTTAGTAACAACATGCTTTCGTGTCGTTGAGTTTTGGACGATGAAATTTATTGGTATCATTCCGGAATTAAATATTGCGGAACCCTTTTACATCAACAAAGAACGATAAAATAATACTTAAAATATCTAAGATTATTAACCAAAGAAAGTACACAACGTAAAATATAAATTGAATCAACTATAAATCAACATGATATTAAAGACATACGTGCCTGGTCTCAGTGTAATTACTTTAGACGCAATTGCTTCTAACATTGCAAGAAATGTTAAGTTTTTAAATTTGGTATTTTCTTTTGTAGTTCGGATGTAGCTTGGGGTAATTATTGGGCATACTGACGTAACTTAAGATTGTATTTACGTGGTCATATCAGCACAGAGAGTTGTTCCCTTGAAGATGATAAACCTATCTTTTGTTTTCTCATAGCCTCCAGAGCTGTCACCGGAGGAGCAACAAAAAAGGCAAGAGAAGGTGGAGTCGATAAAAAAGATGCTGACAGGCACATCGGCTGACCCCAGCAAGGTATGCATAATACTACAGTTACATCATTAACAATTCACTTCCGAAGTAGTTTTACGATGCGTTACTTCCTAAAAACATATGAACAACGAGGAATACATTCTGTGAATGTATAAATTATGACTATTTCCGATTACCAGTATTGTTTTAACTTTAATGAAGTGGATTGATTCATAATCCCTGTGACTATTTGTTACGTCATTTTCCATTTCTCTTTCCAAATTTCAAGCAACGCTTTTTCATGGTATTTCTTTATCATTGGATAGAAATAGATCACCGTCTACATAGTCGTTAACTTCATATAAATAGTTGACCTCGTACAATCTGTTTTGTATATTTGATGCATTTTTATCCACATTCACTTTCACTATAAAAACAGTGCACTCTAATTCGCTCGCTCTGCTTTCATTGTTGTTTGGAATGAACTTTTTCTACTTTTTGCATGTTCATTCTTTTCTATAATGATTACCCTAGACTTCTAGATGATGTCCTTCTGAAAATAATGTTTAGATTATAAATAGATCGGTGTTTGCAGATAGAATTGTATCCATCAGTTTTAAATTCAAAATTTATTCAGTGGAATTTTCTGCCATAATAATTATTGAATTGATTCTATCTGAAAAGACCACAAAGCTTGTCTAGCCGCTTCGAATGTTGGCTGTAAATATGTAAATCGGCACAGTCCTACATGTGTGTGCTTGTATGATGACCGTTAGAGTCCGGATGCTGACGAGAAGCGGCAACGGGAGCACTTACTACAAATGAACCAGATACTAGCCAAGCAGGTCACTGAGATGAGCAAAATCATCGCCGGTAAGGACGTTGCTTCATAATAGTTTTGCCTTCTACAGTTTTCTTGTCTTGTATGTCTGTATCTTTAATGTTTGTTCTGATATTTAAAAGTAATGTTAAATCTGTTTCATGATTCTAATATCCTTGTACATCAAGTTCAATAACTGAGCAATTACGAGTACCTACCTATCCTAATAACTAAAGGAGTAGATTATGGAATGGATTTTAGTAACACTATATTGTCAATTGTTTTGAAAATAAAATTGTTACTTTTCTTTTTTTTTTTTCGTAAGGTGATGACACGAATTTAGATTCTTGTAAATGTTTAATTATGAAAAAGTAATGACAATCTAGTGAACACAATTTTTGTATTGGATTTTAACTGTATCAACATTTAAATTTTAATATCACACTCACATGATTCTAAATGTTCATGTAGGTAGACTATTTTAAACGTTTGATTGATGTTTCACATTTTGATTTCGACTCACAGAATTGCCATTTTGATGTACTGTTTCTTCAATTCAAAGTAGCAATTGTTGTGTGTGTGTTGATGTGACTAACCTAACACGTGTGTGTCACGCCAGTAACCGTTTGCTTGATGTTGTTTGTCCCGTTTTGTGCAGGAACCAACACCGAACAAGGACCGTCCGCATCCAACCACTGATTAGCCATCTTACATAACACACCTGCACATTTCACACATCCTCAATCCATTTCCATCTCTTCGAACTGGGTACTGCAGCATTTGTTTGCAAAATATTCACTTTAATTACTTTTTTGCGCCAAACAGGTGATGTTTGCCCATTCCTAACATGAATCGCTTTAAATCCTTCAATAATGTTACCTATGTAAGTAAATTGGCTGACTCGGACGGTTCTTAGAAGATCCCCACTACCCCGTGTGTTGCGGCATGGTTTCGTTTTTTGCATTTTGTTGTGAGTAGTTTACTTTTTATTTTTAGTTCGATTTGATTAATAGTTGCATCGTTTTATTTTGCATTTTGATGTGTGAATGGTGGATTGGAATAACAGTTCTTTTAATAAAGATAATATTCTAATGGTTACATTTTTATTATCAGTGAAAGCGTTAGAAGAACTGCCTCAAAATGGTAATGCTGACGACTTGGATGATCGTTCACCTGACGTAGAACTGCCCATCTATCAACAGAGAGACAATTTTTTCTCCTAGTGCTAGGCATTAGAGAGGACTTACATATTAATGTACTAGATAAAAATCTAGAAAAACTACGTTCATTGTAATGACTTATGATATACTTATTCAAATTATCACCCATGTAATTGACTAGACTGGTATTTGGCTGTCTTTGGCATAGAAAATCTTTGGCAATTAGTAGGGTCTAAAATGTATCGTAAACCTAGCATGAAACGCAACCAAGCTCGGCTTTAAATAAAAGATAAGCGGTCAATGTAGAATGTTCAATTAATAGTTGATAATGTAATCGTTTTTTCGTATGTTTATAGGTGATTATAAATCGAATATTTAAAACATTTGTAGGCGTATATCAAAATATTATTGTTTCTAATAATATATGAAATTTACTTGTAATAAAACGAGAAAAGCTTGAGTTCTGACTGCTTTCGAAAAAATGAAAATCAAATTTATTTGTTTTTATACCAGATATGTTTAATACTTTGTGAATCTCAATGTTTTTGATATTTATTGTAACTAAATATTACATTAGTCAATGTGTTTGTTTATGAATCGACTGCAATGCGCGTTCCACATATCTATCACAATATCATATACATATGTACTTACCTATATGTAAACTTAAACATGTAATTAATGGCTAAGAAATAAATAAATAGGAATTGGTATTTTTTGTAGCATTTGCTCAATTTTGCGAACATTCCTTAGCGATGTTACTATATTTTGTAGAGACACGAGTGACTTATTATTTTGGCCAGTTAGAATGAAATACCTTTAAATTCAATACTTTGAGAGAAAAAGAGTTTCTTGCGTTATTGCCTCCACTTAAAGGTACCAAGGAGGATCGTGACATGCGTAGTCTAAACATTTGTTTCGTATGCAGATAACAAAGTGAAGAGTGACTCAGTTTTGAGACTAGCTATACTATACTATAGTAGGTAGTAGCGGTTTTTAATGAAGCCATTTCTTTTGTCATCATGTATCGGTAGCCAAAAATGGTAACTGTCTTTATTACTGAATGATTTTTACTTTCTTATTTTTATATCAAAATAACTGTATGCAGGCTGTATATACATACATATAGATCCTTCTCCTAGACCTCTGATTGTATTGGATTTAAAAGGTATACAAAGCTTCGAACAATTTATTTTGATATGTAATAAAAGTCTTCTATGTAAAAATGGCCTTGAATTGTTACTGTAGACTTAAGAATATTAGCTAAATGTACCTAGATGACGATATAATGTTACAGTTGCCATGATTTTTAATAGAGAGTGCACATTTATATTTATATAAATATAATTATAATTTAACATAACGAATAACAATGCGTTTTAGTATTTATTTCGTTAATTTCGATTCTGTATTTTAATGTAAATATAAATTGTATATTTAATTTAATTTTTTATTGTACTTAAGTCTTGATTTTTTTATAGTAGGTGTAGGCGTTAAATATGTTTGTAATTTGTATCGTGTAGTAATATGTGAACTTCTAATGCAAATATTTCAATATTCATCGTTATTTTTATGACGAAAGAACATTTCTTTTTGTAAAATAAATTCAATTGTTTCATGCATCTATTTTTTTTCTATGAATTATAATCGAAGTTGGGTTGTTTTGATTGAAGATAATGAATGATTAAATGATCTTTTTTAATTAACATTACCTAAAGTTTTGACTAACAATATAAGCTAAATTGGTAAATAGATGGCTATATTTGGGTGCGTAATAAAATCTGTTTGTTTTTAGCACTAGATAGTATCTACATTATGTATATTATATAAATGTTCATTAATTACATAATGAAGCTTTAAATATTTCAGCCAGCAATTGTGTATTATATTTTTTGTCATAATAGCTTTTATTGAATAAAATACCCAGTATTATAAAAAAATATTTTGTAAAGAAAAGAAAAAAGGAAAAATGCTTGTGTACAAAATTACTTTGTAAATTGTTTAGTGCCATTGTTTTGCATTTCAATTTTTTTGCGAGTTTGTCTCTGTCAGAGATTGTTAGGAAAATATATGCTATACATTATGAAAGGCTCATATAGCGTTTTGTAGGAAACCTTACTCTTTTGATCCTTTTATAAATATATATGAATTTTCCTTACTATCATATGACTCTTCATCGTACTCAATTTCATTTAAGTAATTGTTTTTGGAATAACATACTTGTGACGTAGGTGCGTTTACAAATATACAATTTCATATGCACATCACACCCAGACACGGAACAATAATTTGTGAATCTCACAAAGAGTTGTTTCGTTCGGGAATTGAACCATACATCAAAGTTTACTAAAAGTTATAAGTAAAGCTATTCCTTAATAAAGAATAAATGGTTCTGAGTACGATATTACCTAAGTATTCATTAATTTACTTGAAACTGTCAATTATTTACCCTAAAATCCCTAAATAACTTAACTCTCGGGATACTCTTCCAAAACGAACTTAAATAGTAGTCACCAATTAAAATAATAGGTACCTTTTATTTTGAAATACTTACTGACTTCTTCCGAATTATTGTATCGTAGGTAATATTTATTATAATAACGTATAGCATTGATATCAAAAAAAGATACCTCTTGAATATTATAAAATTGAAAATTTAGACCCCATCCTTTAACAGAGAAATGTAGAAACGATATCTTAAAACTGTCTGTATCTTAGGCTTTTCAAATCGTTGAAATTATTAAGGGAACATGTTTAAAATAACTGATATTCCCCAAATTATATAACTATATATACATACATAAATATATATTGCCTTACAAGTAGACTGGCCGAATAAGAATGATTTCTATTTCAAAATGTACTTATATTAGAATTAGCTGTTAAACTCGTAGCCCCTTGTATTCAACGAATATCTATAACGGCATACTTTACATTGAGGTATATGTTTAAGCTTTTAAATTTACTGTTTATTGATTCTATAACGAAGCAAGCAGTGGATAGATAAATTATTAAGATACTGTTTCCATTTAAAATGATAATGACCTATATTATTTTTAATAAAAATATGTTTTATTGGTTTTTAGTAATTTATTTTAATATTTTTCAACGTAAATTTAAATATGCTTCTAGAATTGTTCATTTAAAATGAAAATAAACCTGCTTGCTTCGTAAATAGCCTAATTAAAACCCCCAAATTAGAAGTACTATGTTGACTGCCTTAAAATCAGTTGTTGTGTAAATACCTACAGGGAATTGTGCATATTATTGTTTTATATTATGTATTGACTATCCAGTTTTACATCGGTCCTTGTAATTATAGCGCGTACGTTGTTCACATCTGAAAATAAATGATATTATGCTGTATTAAAATGTTTTACTTATTATTTAAATCCTTATTCGAAACCAAAGACTGAGTATTCTGAGATTTTTTTTTGCCATAGATCGTTAAACGAGTTTATCCTGTCCTCATGGTAAGCAATCGGCTCCAACAGTGGACACTCGCAATACCAAAGAAGTTACTTCGAGGACGTTGCCGGCCTCGTGTGGGCTGTTTGGGATTAACGGTTGGGGATAGAGGATGGGGGTTGGGCCTACGATAACCTATTACTTCTCCCACACTGTTATCTAGATCTCAGATTTAGTACCTAAAAGACTTTTTTGTGGGATGAAAAGTCATCAAATGACTTCTTTCTCCAAGGGTGAGGTGAGAGAAAGTGTCAGACTCTTACTGACTAAAAACCTCCTGTTCCATCTCCTGCTCCAGGCCGGCTTATTGCATTTGTCCCGCAATCCGGCTGAACAATTCTCAAAAAGCTGGCAACGCAATTGTGCGCTCCGTTGATGTAGATCTTTGGGCAATTCTGATTGCCTATCATCAGCGAAACCGATGGATGCCGCCCACTTCCAGAATAAATTAATAATATGTTGCAGTTTTATTGAATAATACGTAGCATTTACAGTTTTTTTATCTGGTCAAAAGCAGTAAACACAGTTTTAAAATAAGCATCAGTTTTATGATAAACTAGAGAAATGTCGATTTTCCTCAAGGTATGCACTGCTATCTACCGCTTATGGAAATCGAAGGCATTCTTGTTAGACTTACACAATTACCAAATATTGCAACTCGCTGAGAGAGCTTCCTGTCTTGTTGGTACTCCAAAAATCCGATAGGTAGCGCAATTTCCAATTTTTACAAAATACTTTCTACAAAGTTTTGGTGTTAATTCGTATTTTTTTTAATAAGAAAAGTTGGCAATATATGTAGTACTTTTCATAACATGATTTAACATAATTAATTTCAATTTAGTTTGGTAGCTCTAAAATGTATCAGGAAAGAATTTGAATAGTTTAGTCTTAAATAAGTGAAGTTGACTTTAAAGAGCTGAACTTAAGAAGTCAAATTAAAAATAAATATTGTGATGTAGAGTAATTCTAGAGTAGAGAGAGTCCACTAACTGCGGTACGCTAGGTAGATTGTATGGTCAACCACACTCCTATGTAATTTTAAAGATGGATGAATTAATTAAAGTATTTACTAGAACATTTTTATTATTATACACTGGCTATGTATCGTAGATTCTTTATATCATTTGCATAATATCTCGATTGAGATTGAGATCTGAACCGTTGTGTCAGTCAAAGAAGAAGACTATGTGCAATAAATTACCGTGGTCAGTAATTTTTGGTCAGAAAGAGATTCATACTCTCTTTTGCCTCAGCCAGAGCGAGAGGATTATTAGTCAGACAATGTATTATTCGACATTATAATTTCTCAGTAGGAACACAGCGTAGAGAGATACCTGTAACTAAAACATTTGCTGTGAGTCCTATAGAAAAGTTGTATAAAATTTTTGATATCCATTGCTTACTAAATCTATATGTGTCGAGTGTATCGGCTCACCCATTTAGATAGGACTTACTTACAATATAACAGGATGGAAAAGTGCATGTTACATTGTTTATGTAAAGTGCATTTCTTTTTATTGCGGGATAGTACAGTCAAGGAAACGAAGTGCCCAATGGTTAGTATTCGACCCCTAAACCGTTCATATGGATAAAATGATTTTAAGCAATCGGCACCGCAGAGAAGTAGCTAACGATTCTAAGATTAGTGATTTGGGACTCCGGTAACTTCGCTAATAGGATGAAAGTTGAAAAGATGTAATGTTACAATTTAAAAATAATACGAGGTGGTAGTATAATCTCGATGAAATAGATATAAAAATATACGAGAGTGTTTATGTGTTAACCTACTAATGATCGTTAAGATGCCGTTAGCATCGCTTATTGAATGGTTCGCGATCATGATGGATTGCTAATCGAAGAAAAACCGACCTTCTTAACTTTGTATACCTAGATTATATTTTTACACTTGCAATAATTTTTACGCGTCACCAATATTATTAGGTAAATTAAAATTATTTATAGTTTGTAAATATATTTGAATTATTTAGTTTAGTAATTAATGTTTAGTTTATTTTACGTTATAAAAAATGAACGATATTTTGTCATCCTTAATTATATGAATGACTTTTCAAGCCCAGTGTTGAGCGAGAGAGAGTGTCAGATTCCTACTGGTATAAGACACTCTGTTCCTTCTCCTGGTCGAGCACCAGGACCACGGTTATTTTTTATCATTTTAACAATAAATACAGGATTATCACTTAAAATTGCAACCCAAAACCACTAAGGTTTAAAATTTTGCGATCATAAATCTATCTTAAAATTGAAGTTGCATAAAATGAGGTTTTATAAATATAATATACATACGTTAATGTATGCTAACAATTATGGAAAACTTAAGATAAGCGGTCCCTGTATAGGCTAACACATTATTGGTACATTATTGCCCTTGCTGTAATCCTGGCTAAACTAAAGACTAAGTTAAGTATAACAATTAAATGACTCTGAGTGTGATGTTAAGTCGAAGCGATCATTTTTATTACTGGAAACAGGATATAACACAATTTTGATACAGTTTGTCTGTTAGTGTAATTATAAGTTACGGGGTTGTAGGTTAAGCGCAATAAGTCACCGCGGCCTCGACCCAGAGGAGGAGAAGAAAAGTCTGACACTTCCTCTCGCCTAACCCTGGGCGGTAGAGGTCATTTGATGATTTTCCCCTGACAGAAAAAAAGTGTAGTTATAAGTCAAATAGATACTTTTCTTTCATCTTTATTTATTTAAAGGACCTTTATCTGTAGACATGCTGGTCCTATTGATACAAATCGGAAAAACTTATTTTATTTATTGCTAGTCATATTAGTATAATATATTAGCAGAAAGTAGGTACCTACCTATGCAGAAAGTTCATGTTTTTAGAAATATTTTAATATTTTAATTTAATTCAATACAAGAAAAAGAAAGCAGTTCGTTTTGATCGAGATACGAAGTGAATGTCTTTTCTATCTCAATCGAACAACAACATTGTTGCGATTCTGTGACAAACTGTCGACAATTCTTTTTGCTACTGG